TTTGTTTTTGCTAAACCTCTCTAAAAAAGTCAAATGTCACTTGTTTTGCATCAATCTTGATACAGGGTACTTATTATATGTTATAATTTGGATTCCTAAAGCTTTTAGTCTGCTATCCCATTCAAGGGTGGTTTTCACTATAAGTAATGTTTTTTTTTTTTTGGACGGACCAATAAACTTACTTACACATTTTACTTTAAAATACAAAAAATCTATATTGATTCTGACTCATCTACATCCAACTCACAGGTTTATCATTGCTTTTAGAAAAAAGATTATTAATTTAGCCCTTTTAGAAGTGATGATATAGTAATTTGTTCTGGGAATGTCATTTTCGAGCCTGAGACCTGAAAAACAGGCTCAGGGCTTAACAGGTTAATTTATGGGGTGATACCTAGATGTACAGTAGCCAACTGTTTTTTTATTTATGTGACTTCTTGAGCACTTTTAGATATTCAATTCATTCTCTAACCCTAAATTAAAACTTGGGATAAGTGTATTTTCTGTAATTCGAGTGAACCAACCCTTTATTAGAATACAACTTGAGAGGGATGAGTATAATAGGGTTTATATGTGTGTGTTGGTGTGAATTGTACTAATTTGCGTGGTCTTCCTTGTTGTGCATGGCCCCCGTCTGTTATCTGTGAATGTACTGTTTGCTGTTAACCAGGACGTGCTGTGCTGTGTTGTATTCTTGTCCTCTTCATTTGCCCTTTGACCCCTGGCGGGTTTGGGGCCAGTTCATGATCTGATCTGATAACACTGTTGGCTTACAGTGGTGCTGCTCTTCTTCTTTAACACTGCTTGCCCCCCCTGCCGGACCTCTGCTACCCCCCCTTCTGCTGCTCTGTCTCTCGGGCCCCGCCCTCTGCAGGCCTCAGGCAATGTGTGGGTCACCCATGAGGAGATGGAGACCATGGCCGCCCCCTCCAAAACGGTCAGTCTGCTTTGTGTCCTTCACTGCCACCCTTACTTTCTCTGTTAGTCTGGATTGTGTTCTGAGGGATTCACCTGGGTGCTAACTAACGGAGAAGGCATGTGTCATTTAACCCCTTTCCCAATCTGTTAACCTCTTACCAACACTCATTTAAACTGGATTTATTCAAAGGAGCCTGTCAATGATTTACAAAGTACTTCATTTGTGTTCCTTTTGTTGTTGATGATGGCTCAGTGAAGGTGTGAGCCAATGTGTTGGAGTCTGACTCAGTTCATCTCCATTAAAAAAGGAAATGAATCATCAGTCAGCTTATTGCCTTTAGCTTCTACATGTCTGCACATCAGGGAGGTAAAATGTGCCATTTGTATCCAAGAAAAATAATGCATAAATAAATAAAAACTAGACGCAGTTGAATTTCTACATTATTGTCCGACTGATTTAAGCTGTGTTGAGTATTTTAGGCCATGTGGTAGATGTGTCATTATGTGTTATAAAGTAAGGGTAATTCATTTTGATCAGTAATACTGAATGGTGTCAATTTCACAGGACTCGACAAATGGAAATGTGTCTTAATACTATATTATACTGCTTTATACATCACAACTGATGTGCTTTTACTTCCTTATCGCTTCAGGACCTAAAAGTTAGTCTTAAATAATTTTTTGGGAGCGAGTTTTGAAACATTTGTAACCTACTATATTTCCAAACTTAAATAAAACTGTCACCATGCTACATCTGAGGGTAGAAAAAGTCCCCCTGGAGACCAATTCCAATGCCATCTAGATGTTTGGTTGCTCAGCAGTGACTCCCACAATCCTGTTATCATGTCTTGAAAGCACCTCGCTGTTAGTCAAGGTTTGTGAAAAAGTAGCAGAGGTGTGTAAGAAGAAACTTTGATCTTTAATCTGAGTTGCTCTTATATGTAGAAGCAACAACCACACTGAACTTTGGAGTCACAAAAACAAATCTAGATATAAATCGTGTATGTGTCCCATATTTCTGTTTATTTATCATGAACTGGGTTATTCTTTCGTTTTAAAATAACCCAGTTCACTTGAGAGGTATGCCGGTGCAGAATTTGTACTTGATTAAACCTTTTTATTTTCCTTGTTTCAATCAGAAGTCAAGCTCTGAAGAGGGGAGCTGGGCACAGGTAAGGGGAACTTAAATCTGTCCATTGTTTATAACAGATTGAATCTTACAGCTTTGTTAATTTATCCAGTAAATTAAGATCTGTTTGAGTGTGCTGATCGGTCCTTCCCGTTAGACTCTAGCCTATGGTGACATGAACCATGAGTGGATAGGGAACGAGTGGCTGCCTAGTCTCGGACTACCTCAGTACCGCAGCTACTTCATGGAGTGCCTGGTGGACGCCCGCATGCTGGACCACCTCACCAAGAAGGACCTGAGGGTGCACCTCAAAATGGTGGACAGCTTTCACAGGTACAGCCGAGAGAATCAAGCATAGGTCTCGTAGAAAGCCCAACAATTTGACCAAGTTCTACACACCTTAATTCCTGATTGACCACTAGGATTAGCATTTTTTTACATATTTCCTCCTGTTATTTTTGGTTTTGTTTGTTATTAATACCCTTAGTTGAATTCCTTAAATGAACACTGATGTGTTGTGCGTTTTTCTGATGTATTAGAAGTTTTTTTCAATGGAACTGGAAAAAACAAACATCTTAGTTCTCATAAATACAAGTTAAATTACTCTCAACAACATAGAGCCGCTGACAATCCTTTGTGTGTGTGTTCCCAAATCATGAGTGTGTTTTGTGTGATTTTCTGCCACCAGAACAAGTTTACAGTATGGAATCATGGGTCTAAAAAAGCTCAACTATGATAGGAAGGAACTTGAGAGACGCAGGGAGTACAGCCAGCACGAAATGAGAGGCAAGTGAACCCAAAATAAAAACCAATCATCATCACGAAGGAGATGCTCCAACTGAACAGAAAGAGTGTGTGTGTGTGTGTGTGCGTGTGCGTGTGCGTGTGCGTGTGCGTGTGTGTGTGCGTGTGTGTGTGTGTGTGTGTGTGTGTGTGTGTGTGTGTGTGTGTGTGTGTGTGTGTGTGTGTGTGTGTGTGTGTGTGTGTGTGTGCGCGTGCGCAGACGTGCTGGTGTGGAGCAATGAGCGGGTGATCCGATGGGTGCAGAGCATCGGTCTGAGGGACTACGCCAACATCCTGCTGGAGAGCGGAGTGCACGGAGCTCTGGTCGCCCTGGACGACAACTTCGACTACAGCAGCCTGGCTCTGCTGCTCCAGATCCCCAACCAAAACACTCAGGTACTCCAGATACACTCAAGACTCAAATGAATGCGAAAATCTGATGTCTGTCAGCAAGAAAAACTGTCACGATTAAGTGGTGGTGGTCAATACCAACATTAAGGACTTGGTAATGACATGGTAGAGAAATTAAAAGATAATGCATGGTTTAAAAAACACAGCAATGTATTATTATGTAAGAAAGAACAGATTATTCCTATTTTTTGTTGTTGTTACAGCAGTATGTAAACAAGGCATTGCAAGAGTTAAAATTTAAATTAAATTACAGAAACATACTCTATTTGTGAAGGATGACATTATGATTTCCCTATTTAAGATTGTTTGATTTTCACTTGAAACGATGTTTACCAACAAATGACATACAGTATCTGTGCCACAATTCAAATATTTTGTCCTTTAGATCTTAAATCTGAGGGAAAGTAATTCTGGTATGTTTAAGTGTTATTTAAAATCTCATCTTGTCCAACGCCTACTGTGAGCAATTCTCACTTCATTGATTTTTCACACTGATTATAAAAAAAATAAACACATATTTTTCTGGCATCATCAATCCAGATTTAAAGGCTCTGAATGTGGGCAGTAAATGGTCTGTCAGCAGCTTCAGTCCAGAGCAGAGGTGTGTTGCTATCCTTCAGAAAGATGCTCCAATCTAAATCAGAATGTGCAGATTTGCCAACTGTCACTCTGCCTTTTGAATTTTCACGACTTATCTCGTCGATACTCTGGAAAAATGTATATAAATGGAAATACCGTAATGTGTCAGCTGCTTCTGTCACCACTCTGCTAAAAATATCCAGTCTTAGGATCTGTTGTGTTTTTTTTCCACAGGCACGTCAGATTCTGGAGCGAGAGTACAACAACATGCTGGCGCTGGGCACCGACAGGAGACTGGACGAGGTGAGCTCATGACTCTCAAAGCTCATTAGTCATTCAGAACATTTGCAGCAATTACAATCCATTAATTAGCCCAGCGTCACGTCAAAGATACATCTCAAAGCACATTAATGATAGTCTCTTTGGTTTTCTGTGTCTGTAAACCTGGCCAGTTAAAGGACACTGTGCTATTGTTAGCACACTGAAAGCATAAACTACATACTTAAATGTCTCAGATCGATAGATTATGGGATTATGATATAGCTATTTATGTTTAGAGGGCTTTCGAGGTTTATTTGTTCTACATTCCAAGCCACTACACTTGTTTTAAGTCATTTTTATTTGGTTTAAATTGAAAATGGGTAGGCAACTTTGATCTTCCCCTGTACTTGTGACCCAAGTATTCCAAAATTGGCCAGCTAACACACAAGAAGAATGTTTTGATTTCAATGCTGTTGCCCTTGATGTCCTTGTTAGAATTGTTTTAATAAAAAATAATATTTTTGTATTATTATTATTTCAGATTTATTATATATAATTAATTTTATTTATGGTTTATTATACAGTGGGGCAAAAAAGTATTTAGTCAGCCACCAATTGTGCAAGTCCTCCCACTTAAAAAGATGAGAGGCCTGTAATTTTCATCCTAGGTATACCTCAACTATGAGAGACAAAATGAGAAAAAAAAAATCCAGAAAATCACATTGTCTGATTTTAAAGAATCTATTTTCAAATTATGGTGGAAAAACAAACAAGATTTCTGGCTCTCACAGACCTGTAACTTCTTCTTTAAGAGCCTCCTCTGTCCTCCACTTGTTAACTGTATTAATGGCACCTGTTTGAACTCGTTATCAGTATAAAAGACACCTGTCCACAACCTCGAACAGTCCCACTCCAAACTCCACTATGGCCAAGACCAAAGAGCTGTCAAAGGACACCAGAAACAAAATTGTAGACCTGCACCAGGCTGGGAAGACTGAATCTGCAATAGGTAAGCAGCTTGGTGTGAAGAAATCAACTGTGGGAGCAATTATTAGAAAATGGAAGACATACAAGACCACTGATAATCTCCCTCGATCTGGGGCTCCACGCAAGATCTCACCCCGTGGGGTCAAAATGATCACAAGAACGGTGAGCAAAAATCCCAGAACCACACGGGGGGACCTAGTCAATGACCTGCAGAGAGCTGGGACCAAAGTAACAAAGGCTACCATCAGTAACACACTACGCCGCCAGGGACTCAAATCCTGCAGTGCCAGACGTGTCCCCCTGCTTAAGCCAGTACATGTCCAGGCCCGTCTGAAGTTTGCTAGAGAGCATTTAGATGATCCAGAAGAGGATTGGGAGAATGTCATATGGTCAGATGAAACCAAAATAAACTTTTTGGTAAAAACTCAACTAGACGTGTTTGGAGGAGAAAGAATGCTGAGTTGCATCCAAAGAACACCATACCTACTGTGAAACATGGGGGTGGAAACATCATGCTTTGGGGCTGTTTTTCTGCAAAGGGA